CCCCATACAGTTTGGGTCTGAGTGGCAGAGGGGCTGCCATAGCTAGTTAATCTTTAGGGCTTGCAGAAGCAACACAGGTCTCATCAAAAGAACATGGATTTTGTGTGCTGATATGACCTACTTCCTATATCACAGAAGATATATTTTGGTGACAGATGCTCTCAGCAATGACAGAACATGTATGGTGTGGCAAGTCCTTGAAGTGCTGGCCTCACCTGTTGTTTTAGGAGCAGCCTGCCAGAGAAAGTGAAGGAACTTCTTAACACATCAGATGCACCCACTGCTATCACAGGAACCCATTTCATACAGTCACTTCTGTCAAGCTCCACTGCAAAATTAGTTAGATTTCCTTCCCATCCTGCTCCTGTTAGAAGACTGTTGCAGAGCTGCATTCCTCTCATGTTTAGAAAACTTCTACTTCTCAGTCTAAAGACATTTAAATACCACATGCACTCCAGACAGATACATGTCATGCTACAACTAGGCTATCTATCCCACACTCAAGTAGCCTTTACATTTGATGGTAAAAGGTCCTTTGTTTAATCTTTAAAGTGTTAGACAAGTTTGTTTACTTGGCAAGTTAGCCCCATTTTGCTGCTTTCTTCTGTCTGGACCTTTATGGGCAAAGACATGAAAGTTCATTTTCTTTTTAAATTATATTGTTTAGTTAAAATATTGCACAGAGGGAGCTGCAGTTATTTCCACTCAGGAGCACATAACCACAACCAATACCGGTCTAAGGAAGTAATTAATCAAGTCTCAAACTGCATGAGTAATTTGTATTTCCTTCAGGAAAAAAAGTGTCTGGTGTTCTTATTTAATTTATCTGTAGGAATGGTGCTCGTTAGTTTTCACTTTTATTCCTTTACTATGCTTGTTCTTGTTAAGAAACAGTTACATTCTAGACCATTTTATAACTATAAAATTGTCAGTGTAAACTAGAAAGTCGATTGTTTATGGGGGGGTTGGTTTGTTTGTTTTTACATCATCATGGTGTCAAGACTCATCTTTAATCATCTTAATGTAGTAAGTCAAGTTTGTTTTTTCAAATGCTTGTGTAGTGTCATCAGTCCTTTCTGTGACTCCTGGTTCTGGGCCAGGCCTTTAAAATACCCTGTATCCTGACTCATGATAATCAGACCTTGTTATCCTGGGAGTTAGTGGAACTACAGGATGGAAATGGTGAGGAATTCTCTGACTTCTTTCTGTCAGTGAATATTAGTTAGTCAAAATTTGAACATCCTGTGAAAACTGTTCAATTGCAAACAAAATTCATTGGAATGTAGGCAGGGATCAGAGACGCATATTTGCAACACAAACATGAAGGTTAAGTACAGCCATTCAAAAAGCCCAAGCATGAATTGATTCAATCTTTACAGGTTAGTTTAGCCTGCATAGATTGAACTGATTACAAGTGAATTGACATTCACTTTTGATTCTGGAAATGCAGCCACATGCCTGTAGTGGCTCCAGCCAGAAGCCAGTGGGGGCTAGAGCAAGACCTCCCTTCCCTTCTACAGTGGTGGGGCTGGAGGGAACCTAGGATGGGAGGCAAGGTATGGCCAGGCCCTGGCAGGCCTGTGTATGATTGGGGAAGGGTTTAACCCCCCACCCTGGCCTGCAGGGACCCTAGCCTGTGGTATGCATGGAGGGCGAGAGGGGAAGCAGCCCTTGCCAGGCTTTTGGGTGGTGGGGGGGAAGAAGGAGCATGGTCAGACACCAGCTCCTGGCCAGATGCCAGCCCAGCATGGCCCCCTGTGACGAAGAGGCCAGGGAGGGGGTTTATTCCCCCCTCAGTCCCCTGTCCCACCGGGGGTCCGCAGCCAAGGTCTGCCAGCCCCGGCCGCCACCTCTGCTGCTCACCCCTGGCCAGGTAGACCCCAGCTGGGGTCCCAGGGGAGAGGGGAGGGAGGGAAGAATAAACTCCCTCCCTGCCCCTTTGCCAAGGGACCATGCTGGCCAGCATCTAGCCATGCCACTGCCCCTGCTGCTGGAGCAGTGAGGGGGAAGGACTCTGACAGGGGAAGCAGCCCCTGTCATGGTGTCCCAGGTAGGTCAGGCCTCTTCCCAGTGCGGGGGGCTCTTCTGCCCACCTCACTCCCACCCACAGAGCTGCCACAGCCTATGCAGGGTGCAGTCAGGTGCTGGCTGGCATAGCCCTCTGGGGCAAAGGGGGCAGGGAGGGGTTTTATTCCCCCCTCCCTCTGCTCTCCCTCTGAGGGACACCAGCTGGGGTCTGTTTGGCTGGGGGCCAGCAGTGGAAGTAGTAGTCAGGGCTGGTAAACCCAGGCTGTGGTCCCCCAGTGGGGGAGGGGATGGAGGGGGGAATAAACCCTCTCCCTGCCCCCCTCACCTCAGATGGCTATGTTGGGTGGGCATCTGGCCATGCCCTCACCCCTGGAGCGGTGAAGGGGGCAGGGAACTGACAGGGGCTACTGCACCCCCACCAGGCTGTGGGCCTGGCTGCGGTCCTGAGGGGTGAGGAGAGGGTGGGGGGAATAAATTGCCTCCCTGCCCCCTTCACCTTAGGGGGCCATGCTGGGCTGGCATCTGGCCACCCTGCCCCCCAACTCCTGCTGTGGCTAGAGAGCAGAGGGGCGGGGTCAGCCCTGCTCTCTGGAGTGG